CCTTGACAAAATTTATTTATTATTTTTTTTTTTTTTTTTTTTTTGGCGGGGTGTCGACCGGTAGGTGCCGACCAGTCAAGGGTTGCCGACCATCGGCGTGTGCTCCTTTCTATTGGTAGGGAGCAGAAGCTGCTGGAAACTGGTTCCATCGTCCCCAGATTGAGAACGGACCTGCTCATAACGCTTGCCTGCGGTACGGCAGCCTGGGGAAGCCTGGCAGCATTGATTGCTTCCTCAAGGAAGCATTGATTGTCAATTGAGCCGTCTCCTTTTGCTAACCCTCCCAAAAGCAAATCACCCCTTCAGAAAACATGGCCAAAAAAATGTCCTTCAGCACATTTCAGCACCCAGAAAAGTGCATGTTCCATCCTCTGGATCTGATGTCCCTTGCCAGGTCAGGGATAACATCTTCTCGAGTTTCAAATTTCAATTTATCAGATCCTTGAGGAAAGAGGCCTGTCTGTTGTTTGCAAAATTTCAATATCTCTGAAAGCCTGAGCTATGATGATGTAGATCTTCTACATGAGGGCCCACCTTTTCCATCATGCCCAATTTGCCGTTCAATCGGATAACGACACCCTTCCTCCTGATGCTTCTCTGCTACAACCCCCTTCTTCTTTTGTTTTGCTGACGGGGCTCCTCCTCTCTCCGGGGAACGGGAATCCGCTGTACCCAACTCCGGATTTATTATTTTCATCATCCTTTCCACTTTCCGAGTCATTGCATTTATCAATGTATTTAAAGCCTATATTAAAGGCATACGTGTCGTCGCAAGAGAGTTGGATTTTTGACATGTTTCAGGATTTCATCGAGCAATCTGTCATACTGACATGCCCTTGTTTCTGTCGGGGTTCAGCACATGAGAATGCCCCTATGCAGCTATGTGTACTCACTGTACTGCCCGATTAATTGTGTTTTACAATCAACTGTTGACATCGTCCATAAAACACTGCCTCAACAAATATGAAAAGTTAATGGGATTCCAACTGTCAGGTTGGATGAGAACGCAGATTGCGCTTCAGGTGCTTTACTGAGGCCCTCTGAGGGCATACTCACAGACTTTTTTTACTTACCTGTGGATGTAATGGCGGTCAGATGCATCCAAGTCCGGCCGTTTAAGATAGAGCTAGTTTGAGTACGCCCTGAGAGTATCTATCCTGCCAGTGGAATAGGGAACGGGGTGTTGGTCGTAACGGGAGAAAGTGGACTTTTCAAGTTTTAAACACTCTGTCATAAGGCTAGGGGAGGAAAAGGATCGTGAATTCTTGCCTCGCAGAGCAATTGAACGCTGAAGCGACCATTGCCATGTAAGCAGCATGGGCCACACCGGCGAACAGAGGGCGAGGGGATTTGAGAAGCAAGAGAGGGGTGAGGTGCGCTGTTCCTGCCAAATAGTAACTCGGATGTGTGTTGGGAAAAAAAAACAAAAAAAAAGACAGCAGGAGTTTATGCTAGGGTAGGATGGGTGGGTTCCATTATTATATGTCTTAATTCTTTTTCTGAATCTATGTTTGGTCTTCAACTTCGGATTTGTTTAGGTCTCTTACTTTCCCTTCGTCTTTCCTGCTGCAGGTGGGTCACAGTTGCTGTCGATAGCAAGCTGCCATGCAGAGATGGAGTACTCCTTTACGGTATGTTCAACCTTTTTTTTTTTTTTTT